TGTGTGTGGGACTCACAGGTTTTTGGCTGTGTGAGTCCCTAGACTCACTGCTGCCTTTTTCTAGATGGATCACTGTAATGATTCACTAATCACATGAAAAGAATGCACTCATGAGCCACAATAAAAATTGAATTTAGAATTTGACCAAAAGTATATTTCAATTTCATACACTGAGATACCTTACTATGGTAACTTCAAAATACTCATTACGCAAAATATGCACCTTCTTCACCAAAAATATTAGAGATGAGAATCAAGAGTGATTTGGAATTTAAAATTATGTGGCATGGCTAGGATTAAAATTTTTGGCAGAAGATCAATGCAACTATACATGTAATTATTGAGAAATACAGTATTCCGTTTAGATCAAGCAGATAATCAATTTATCATAGAAATCTATGATTCGACCAAGCGGGCAATTTATAACTTTTGTGGCAGGATCTATACCATATCACATTTTCCACCAGTGTACTGAAAGGAACATAAGTAACAAGCTTTTAATTTATTAATGGGAACGAGTAACAAATATCATTAAAGCAAGACTTAAAAGCCCAACTCAAAAACTCAACTCAAAAAGTTTTCCCCTTAAATAAATACATCTATATAAGCTTAAATCTGAAATACAGTTTAAAAACAAAAAATATATATACTTTCTTTGCAAACAAATCTATTTTGAACGTACGCATTCTTACAAGATATCAGCTACACAAGAAGGAACACGAAGAAATAAAGGAGTCTATATTTGTTCACTGCGCAGAGCTTATATTATCAAGAGTGCTTTCGAGCCAGCTGTTTAAAGCGCAATCTAAACTACGTAAGAAACCTTTGTTTTGAAGTCAGATTTTAATAACCATGATTTAAGGTGGTCTTTTGTGTGTTATCCAACCAGCTGCGAACCATCCAAACTCATTGATTATTCATCAACGAAAAAAAACAACAACAAACGCGAAAAGCTCTCTCGCTTGACCACTGCAAACACAGTGCATGTAAGCTTAGAAATTTCGGTTGAGCACCCCGAATAAAACCCAAATACAAACCACATGAAAAAAAACCACACTGAGCAACGTTTTTAAATAAAAATATCAAAGCGTTATCAACGTCCCGGATAAAAATAAAGCCTAGCTATTTATTGTACCTCATGGTCGGTTATCGTCCATTTGCCCGCCGAAAGAGAAACCGTGGCATGTCTGCGAGAAATCATCAAAGGCGTCGCTTTCGACAATAACCGGACATTTGTATCGGGAGATATTATTCTTCCAAAGGTAGTTGGTCTGTCAGGCAAAAGTAGGATGCTGTTTGGACAAAAGGAATCGTTCTTCCCGCAAACTGGAACCGTTTTCCGAAGGTGCGCCATTTGCAGTGTTTACCAGATGACGTAACAGTGCGCATGTCCGCATGCATGAACAACAAGGGTATTTTAGGGGGAGGGTAGAGAGGAAATAAGTTATTCAGCAACTAGGGGTGGCTACTTCAAGTGAAGTTTATTAAAAAAATAAATAAATAAAAATTTAAAAGGTCGTGATCAAAACGAAAAGGAATAAGAAAGTGGCAGGATTATAAGAGGGTACATGCTCTTTAAAGTACAGAAAAGGTAAACCATCTCGTCTCTAGCTACCCCTCCCTCACATCATTTTACGTGCAATTAGGAAAAAATCCTAGATTGTCACGCGCGTAACACAGTACAGCGGGTCGTTCAGCAGCAGTACAGCAGGTTTACCAAGGTTTACCAGTCTTGCCACATTTCGTCCAGTCGGTCTACCAGTTTATGTTGTAGTTGAGTAAAACGGATTTTACAGATAAAGGCTGATCAAATTCTTTGATCTCTCTCGTTGGAACTTTAGAACAAGAATGATGAAATGCTTTGGACTTTTCTCGGCAAATTCACCTCAATGCGGCAGCATTTGCAGGAAAGAACTTGACAGTCCCTGGTCATGGCTAGTTTGTTTCTGTGCCACGTCCTTGATTGTTCTGTCGTTTGGCGTCTCGCTCAACTTTGGAGTCCTGTTTCCCGTACTGATGGACTATTTTCAAGAAACACGGGAACGAACAGGTGGGTTGATGTTGTTAGGTCTTCTTATGGCCAAGTTCTCTGGTCGATTTTCTGGTATTGCTCATTGCGCCATAGAAAAGTCAAGAAAACGTTGGTGTTCCATTCAGAGATTGCACAAGAAAGCCAAATGTCATTAATGATTCACCGACGGAAATCGATTCGAAACATTATTGAGGTTCGAAAAATCGAAAGTAAATTTATTGCAACATTTTTGCCAAAAGAGCAAAAATTGGGGCAGGCAAAAAACACAGGTTCCAGGCCTCAGGTCACAAGTCACTCCGGTTAGTCTGAAATAGCACTCTGGTAAGCCTGAAATAATACTCAGGTTAGCCTGAATAACAAATTAAAAACCCCCCAAACCCCACCCCTGCTAACGCAGTCAGTGGCAGCTGAAAAAAAGGCTCACTTTTATTTCATCCCTCCCCCCTCCCCCATTTCTACCCTACTCCACCCTTTTTGAGCTCCTGGATTTGCCACCCTGTTTAACAGCATACTAAATTCAAAAAGAAATTCAGTATTACAAAGATGATGTGGTAGTAATTATGAGAGTGAAGAATGATCATCGCAGTTAATATTCCAATTTAAGCAATTGGAAAGAAGAAGCCTGAAAAAATCAGGGCTTCAACGGGATTCGAACCCGTGACCTCCGCGATACCAGTGCGATGCTCTACCAGCTGAGCTATGAGAATTCTCTTTCCTTACGTGCAGATCAGAGGATACTAGAGCATGTTTAATTTTTTGTTGTTTTTTTTTGAAAACAAATTGAATGACCAAGGGCGCTAAGTCTTAATAAATGTGATTTCTGAGTTGGAAATTAGTTTTCTGAAATTATGCATGATGGAGAAGTTCATGGCACATCACAGGATCCTTAGGGACTATAATTTAAAGGTTTTTGACAGGAGATTTACATATACTCAGGTCATTCTATGTCCATCAGTCTTGTGATATTTTATGTTTTTTGATTTTAAAAACAACCTAAAGAAGGGATTGTAGAATAACTTTCCCTGGAGGTCTTGTACTGCTACATTAGGTGAGGAGTACATTTCCACATGTTTCCTTTTTTTTTGCCCTATCTTGATTTAAAAGGGTGGGTTTTTTTAGTGGTTTTTCATGTCTGTCATAGCATAGGTTTTAATTCTTAAGAACCATGACTAGTTGTAATGTGTGAGGATACATGTAGCGAAATCGATGTGTAATAACATACAACAAAGAAACAGCTTTAAGTGATTTATTCGCCCAGTGTTGCACACAATGCAGGCCCCCAAAATACAGACAGTCCTTGTGCTTAAATTGTTACAAAATCAAATAAATCATACAAAGCATCTGATTGGCTGAAATCAAACTGGTGATCAAAATAACACAGGCTAGGGCACGTGCAGAATAACATAAGGCAATGTCTCTACAATACATTAGAATACAATCTGCATCAGATGACTGACTGACACATCCTTAATAAGCTTTTCACACTGAATGTCTCATGTTAGTGTTAAGTTTGTAGATTTATTATTTGAAGTGTGTCAAATGACAGTTATGCTATTTTGTTTATATCTTCCACAGCCTGGGTTGGGTCAGTAGGAATAGCATTGACATTTGCCCTTGGTCCTTTGACCAGTGCGTTGGTGAATCGACTTGGTTCCCGTTTAACTGCAATTACAGGTGGATTATCGTGTGTCAGTGGCCTCTTACTCTCATCTCTTGCTTCAAGTATCTACATCATGTATCTAACTTACAGTGTTTTGTTTGGGTTTGGTAGCAGCTGCCTTTTTGTTTCATCCTATATCATAACATCACAGTACTTTGAAAAGAACCGTTTTATAGCAACTGGCATTTTAGCGTCTGGAACGGGACTGGGTGTTTTTATTGTTGCGCCGATCCTACAATCCTTGCTGGACTCCTTTGATTGGAGAAAGACTTACCGCATAACTGCTGGGATCATTGCAGTTGTTTGTGTTTTGTGCTTGACGTTTGATCCCACTGTAACAAATTCTAAGAAAGGGAAAAACCAAGCCCACAATGGAGAAGAAAAAGAATTAGAAAGTCAAGATGAGCCGGAAGAAGGAACTACAGAAAAAGCAAACAAGTGGATAGACTTCTCTGTGTTTAAGGAGAAGGTGTTTGTCGTTTTAACCCTTTCATTTGCGTTGGCCTTGTTAGGACATCATGTTCCAAGGTTGCACTTGGTAAGATTCTGCTATGTAGATGTAAGTTGTTCACACTAGCATTATCCAGTGGCTGATCTAGCCTGGGATGGGCCCAGGGTACTTGGGCCTCTTCTTTTTGGCAAAGCGCTTATAATAAAAATAACAAAATTTCGAACCCCACTTTTGGAAAACACTTTCCAAGGGGTCCAGGCTTTTAGCCAGATGGGTGTCCAAGTGTCTTGTGGACAACCACATTTTAAACAGAATTGTTT